TTCTTACGACCTCCATTGGCGTAATATTGCTCTCTGGTAGCATTTGGTACGGCATTGYGAATATTTTTACCACACTCGTAACACTGTGCTGACGTGTCATCTTCTATTTGCATTTTCTTACCACAACACCAAAACCCCTTAGGTTTAGGTATGCACACCCTTACAGTCAGGCACTCTACACAGAAACCATTCACAAACTCTCTACATTCATGCATCGTATATCCAACAAATATCTTTACCAAAATACCTACCTACGGGTAATTCCCGCGGGGGACGCTAGTGYGTAAACACGGGTAATTCCCGGGCAATCCCAAATGGTGACCGCGAGTCCCCCTTACTGCTGCTTATGCACACTAAGTATTGACCATTCCTTAAATAATTTATAATATTTTTGATTTATAAGTAATTATGATATGTTGGTAAATAATTTGGCATGACTATAACATGTAGTCCATACTTTTGCAAATTCTTTTTTTTTTTTTACAGACCAGATGTGATGATGACAGGAAAGATTGAGAAAACCTGGCTCAGTAGGACACATGAAATATTAAAAGATGTACGCTGGACCTATGTTGGAACTCGTAGTGGGGTGTTTAGAAGCTTCCCGGGACATCGGTCAAGAAGAAACTATGATCCCACTAAGTATGTAATCTTAGATTCCCATTGCCTCTATTGAATGACAAGCCTCTTCAAATTATTATTAAATTATTATTACATTATTATTAAATTATTATTACATTATTATCAAATTATTATCAAATTATTATCAAATTATTATCAAATTATTTAAATTATTATTACATTATTATCAAATTATTATCAAATTATTTAAATTATTATTAATTTATTATTAAGTTATTATTAAATTATTATTAACTTATTATTAAATTGTTATTAAATTATTAAATAAAAAAATTATTACTACTTAATGATTTCCTGTCATTTTCCAGACGGCCATGGTACCAGCGTACCCTTGTGAGTCCTGCCAAGACTTCAGTATCCAATGCTTACATGGATGCTAGTGGTATAGGGAAAGTTGTGACTGTCTCACAAGCTGTCTTTCAAGGTATTCCATCTGATCAAGATATGTTGTCTATCAACTGCACAGAAGATCACAATATCAGGGGAGGATGCCCATGTACCAGGTAATGGTTCATTATATTCCTTCAGATGATTCTCCCTACTTGTTCTTTGCTTGCTTCTACTCTTGCCTTTTTTACTTCTTCCTCACAAGTTTGCTTTTTTTCTTTCTTGCTTCCACCTTGCCTACCTCCCAACCTCCCTCCCTCTCTCCCTTGCTCCTTCCTTACTTATCTTGTTACGCCTTTGTTTCCTTCTTCCCTCCCCCCTTACTTCTTTTCCCTGCTTCTCTTAAGCTTTCCTCCTTGCTATCTCGTTCCCTCCTCCCCCTTCCTAAAACTCAAAGATTGTGTTTCCTTAGACTAACGTTCTACGTATGACTCTTCTAGCAACACCCAGTGCTTGTCTGGAAAATGCAGAACCTACTCCAACAACAAGCAAGTATGTGCTGGAGACCATGTAGAAGCAGTCACAGCACTTGATATCCTATACAGTGACTTCCACAAGCGTGTCTATGACCTGATGAAAGATCCTGATGGAGAGAGATCTTGCGATCAAAACTACACCTGTGCTGATGGTATCCACACATGTCAGACCAAGTGCTACTTGATTGACAGCCTTGCAAACCTAGTAACTGACCCTAGCTTTCTGACAGTCAGTACCACAGATGAGAGAGAGTACCAGAGAGTTTCTCTTGGGAGGAAGGAGGGAGATATAATGAAGCTGTTGATTCAGAGAGGCTTCTTTGAACAGAACCTCAGGGTGGACTTTCAGGGTGTGTGTAGTGTGTCACCCTATGCACCAAAGGTGGGTTACACCTTTTTATTATTTCCCTATTTATTATAATTATAGCTTAAATAGTGTGTGCACTCTGATTGGTTGAGAACTCTACTGTATTAGTGAATGGAGTACAGTCATAAAAAAAAAACAAAAAAACTTGTCATCGCTTATCACCACCGCAAGTACAGCAGTGGTGCAGCTCAAGGGGTCGAACTGAAAGCATGATGCCATCTGCATACTCATGCATGTGGCCAACTTTGCAAAAGAAGTGTAAGAAAACAGCATTGGATACTGCAACTGATGTTCTTTATAATTAATAGGTATCAAAAGATAAATTATTAATGGAATAACTTTTTTCCATGCTTGTGCTACTCTTTACACTTCTTTCATGCTTTTGTCACTTCCTGCATACTGAATTACTAAATGACTCACAGAAAAAGCTGCAGCATCTCTCAAATATATATTTAAAACATACATTAAATATTCCTTAGCTTGCAGCATTTTACTTGGGGGGGCATAAATGCAACTGATTTTTGTCAGTTATATCACAAAAATACATTAGATTAAATTAAGAATAATGTAGTGAATATTATTCTGTGTCTAAGATAATGATGCAAGTTATATATTGGTATTGATACTATTTACCTGTTGCCAAAATTCTTCCCTGTCCATGGATAGGTTACACTTGATGGGCTGATCAAGACTCCTGAGCAAGAGGATGACTATTACAAGAACAAGGGACCAATACCTCCATTCAGGAATGAGTTTGGCTGCATACAGGATGTGGTAGGATACTCTTCTAATGACAAGGCTCTTGGTAAGGATTTATATAGTTGAGATCTTTACAAGTCATAAGCCCATACCAGTGTTTTGATCAAACAAGGGGACCCTTATTATAATTGTGTGGTCAGGGAAGGGGGGGAGAGACAAAAATCCAGGGAGGGGGGTGGGGGAAGAAAAATTTAAGAGACTGCAATTTTTTTGCTGATGACTTTAGGTAGGCCATCAATACAGAAGTATGTTGATAGTGAAGGAGGTGGGTAGGGTAGGGGGAGGGCTGTTTGTTGTTAACTGTAGAAAGGCTCTGAATCATGTATATTAAGTGTATTAAGTACAATATTGAAAGAACTTGCGCACAGCCTTTTCTATATTTTAAGGGGGAAGGGGATACAATTCTGAGCTCTGGCAATGGAGTCAACTTTTAAGAATTAAAAGTTTACCAATTAAACATCCCTCTAACATAAATATTGTACAGTTCTGTACATTCAGGTACATCGTCCATGAACATTTCATTATTTTTAAATGCCTATTTCATTTTTTCACAGGAGCAGGAAGAATCATTTCTGGCATGGTGGATGGTCCATGCCGAGATGGCAAATATTACTTAGCAGGGCTCCCACAAACGAACCTATACCTGTTGGTCGTAGAGAACTGGAGTGATTACAGGCAGTCCTATTTTTATAACTTTAACTGCCACATTAGCAACAAGGTGTATGACGCAGGAGCATTCCGAATAGTTAATGGCACCTGCGCACATATTGAGGTAACAGAACCTCTTGACAACAAAAAGAAATGCCCTGCATTAATGAATGTCGAACTAAAATGTAGTTATAATTCTGCTGCAATGTTAGGGTTTATTCCTAGTAGTATTATTACAGTTTTCAATTTGATTATCTTTTACTTCATTCATTCCTAAGAAGTGTTGCATGAGTCATCACATATACGTTGTGGACTCGTTGGTTGAAAGTTTGTGTCTTACCATCAGACGGCCTTATCACATTGTTGCATTGTCAACAGGACTTCAGTACTGAGAACCAACACAGTTATTAATTGAACCAACACAGACTTTAATTGGCCCATGAAAAAATAGTAAATAATTAAATTATAATAGGTCGTGAATCATAGACAGTAATTCCAATATTTTTTTCTTTCTTTTGTTCATTATGTTAATTTTTTCATTTTTACTGTTACTCATCTCTAATTGCAAGGAAAAAAACCTTTTAACGACCCTGCATGATGAATAAAATGTAAAAGATACCAGGTAACAGAGTCTGAAATGTCTGGTACTAAATCTAATTTTGACTCTGTTATCTTATCATCTTTTATATWTTTTATTCATTCTGGCTTTTATTCTGGCTAAGTAAAATTACACTTTTGTCTTGTCAAAGCCAACAAAAATTATAAAATTACAACATAATATATAGACCCATTTTAAGATTAAAAAGAAAATCATAGCTTATTGAACTTATTGAACTACTTCAAAAACTTAGGTATAGTTCRCAAACCTTTGGTTGAAGTAGAGTGACCAAATACCTTGTGAACATTAACTTTTATACTTTTAATAGTCGTTTGTACAGTAATGTCATGCACAGTGAGGTTTGTACGTCACTGCCATGCCCAGTAGGTGCAAATAATAGGTCGTTGATGATCGTACATGAGATTGACCTTGATGAGGCTCTAAGTCCTCATCTAAACTTGGATGCACCTCTATCTCTGATAAGGTCATCCTTTATAGGGTTTAAAGGTCCATGCATGTGACATGTGTAATCGCTCCAATTGGTTCAAATGCTCATTAATCATTCATGAGTTTTTGAATTAAATATAAAATCATAGCTTATTGGTGAAACAATTGGGATATTACCCAAATTATGTAACCATTTTATCATATTTCCAAAACCAAGATAAAACATTACATGCTTTAAGAACATGCAATATGGTATGATTGTGATGTGTCTTACAGATATCTGGAAAAAGGGTTCTGGAAAAAATTTGCAGTCACATCAATGCACTAGTTTTCAACATTTATGAAATCAACTAATTCATAATACTCTTTTGTTTTTAATTGATTTTTATAAACTTATTTCAAAATTTCCCCTACTCAAAATATTATAATCATTACAACATTACTGTACAAAATACATTTTTAATAAACATCAGTTGTGATTCATACATAAATTAAACACTTGTTTTATAATAGGTAAGGATATATGTATACTGTTTGAATGAATGGAATTATAAAGTGGTTCGTTGACATATACTTTAATTTAGTTTTAAAATACGGTAACATATTTCTTAAAGTGACTCTAAACGTGGGCGAAATGGCTTGGGCGAGTTGGCAAACGCATGATTGATGATTTTATGTGTGGGCGACTTGGCGTGGGCGAGTTGGTTCGTGGGCGAGTTGGTTCGTGGGCGAGTTGGTTCGTGGGCGAGTTGGTTCGTGGGCGAGTTGGTTCGTGGGTGAATTGACTGGTCACCGATATGGTAGAAGTTACATTTATATTTATTGATCGTTTGAAGAGCATTACACTATAGCCAGAGGCTAACCAATCGTGTTCCCAGAGCCTTCATTTCTAACTGTGAATGCTTGACGAAATAAATAGCCTGCCTATTTTATTTAGTCGAGCATGCGCAGTTAGATATATAGGTTCTGGGTACAAGATTGGTGGCTAACAAACTTGCGGCCCTAGTTTCCATCATTTAATCAGAATTTTGAAATTGATWTTTATGGAGGGAGAAACATTGGACAACACAGAGAAATTTCATGAAGCATAGGAGAGAACTTACAAGCAACTCTATTCCCAGTTCACACCGGTGAGAAGCGAGCACGGCTATGGCAGCCATGCTTCCATGTTTCCATAATGCAAAGGGCGCAAAAATGAATTTGCTATGGCTAGGCCAGGCAATAGCAGTTTCGAATTCCAATTACCTCTGTGTTCCTTGATTATGAACTTGTTTACTCAGGCTTACTTAGCCTTGTATCAGTGTCTAAATATTCACAAATTACAATGGTAAAGTAAAGAAAATGGTCTATTCTACTTCTATCATGAAAGAAGGGCCAGTCTTCTATCCTTGAACTTGGAATATTTGTAGGAATGATATATTATCTGATATTTGCTCAAATATATATGGTTCTTGTACATATTATATTTTACATATTATTGTACATAATTATTATACTAAGGGTTTAGTCTGCACTGCTATCACTGTCATCTGTATCATCTTTTTTGTGCACTTTTGTTAAAGCTTTTGTTCGCCTTTTCCATGTACATACTGGATCAAGAGCAGTTGCTTCAGTAGTGGCTTTATCGATGACTGTTGAAACCTTTTCTCTCTCAGCTAAACCGAAGAAAAGTAGACATAAATTTGGGGTCACTTTTATGAGGATAATAATTCATAATTCTGACTCCCCTTACATGTAGGTGCCATTGCTATATCTCACGAAATTAGCTAGAATGTCTCAGGTTTCAAAAGTCTTGATCTCGTAATTAAATAAATCATAAATTGCTTGACAATTGTTTTATGTCCTGAGAAAATAAATGAAAATTGTCTGGCAATCCTTGTAGATGTAGTACTCTTTAAAATAATAATTTATTTATTATTAATCAATATCGATCAACTTTATTTAAGGAGGACATACAAGTAACAGTTTTCACTCCATTCAAATAGAATAAAAAGAACTGACAAATCTGAGGCCCTCCAAATACTGTGTAGTTGTGTGTAGGACAAGATTTCAATTCCACTGAGAAAACTGCTACAACGATGATTGGTTCACTATTATGTGTCAGGACTATGAATGTTTATGATAGTAGGCCTGTAGAATTAAGAAACGTCTTCAAGCCAGATTAACATACCTGGTGTCTTGCACTGATCAAGCATGTGGTGAAGCTGGACTTTATTGTGCTGTACTAAGAATCTCTGACATGATCTGATAGTACCTGGTAGGTTAAAGATATATCATCAATATAAGGTAATTTCCAATATAGGTTAAAATTAATGAAATATTAACAGCCATTAATCAGGGTAGTGGCCACCATTATTTTTGAAAACAATTTCCCCAACCCTCCCCTTTTTGGGAGAAAGATGGTTCTGACAAAAAAGTGGTCATGTTAAACCCATACTGGTGGCTAAAGCCCTATTGATTCTGTTTAGTCTTGAGTATTTTCTAAGTCAGTCAAGCTAGTTATTAAATCTATTATACCTAATGCTCTGATGAGCTTATTTGATCGACTTGCAGGCTATACGACTTTATGAATACAAGATCCATTGTATGTATCAAATAAACAGATACATTCTTTATACCTCCAATGTGTAGTGTTTTAAAAACACAGGCTCTGTCTTTCAGACTTYTAATGAAAGTAAGTGAACTTTGAAGCAACTTGTAGTGATCCCGACTACAGGCAATGAACACCACATTCGTAAATGGATTAAGGTACTTCACTGCAATGAAATAATAGAATTATGAATAGATTACCAGTCCTTGCCAGACACAGTCTTTAATTGACCAAATAGAATGCTTTTAAGACTTGCTCATAATCTTTATAATATAATATAATCTAACTGCATCTGACATGTGAATGCTTGAAATCTAAAATGAAATTTTGGGAGCATTATTAAATTTATATAAAAATATCTTGCTGGATACAGATTGAAGTAAGATCTACAGACATATCAAAGAGAAAGAGAGAGAGAGAGAGCTAGAGAGAGATATACTAATAGTCTCCAGTACAGCAAACAAATATATCGCTGGTTATTTTTATCAATACAAGACATTCGCTATCTTTTTATTCTTATTAAATGGAGTATTGCTGAATGACGCAGAGGGGTGAGAAACCCCCAAACTTACATCTTAATGACATCAGTATACATGCAAGGCCATAATCACCATGAACTTTCTTAACTGTTTCTTTAATGGCATCTTGTATAGCGTATTTGGAGAGAGACTCGTCTATTAGACCATCTCTAAAGGAGATTTCGGCCAAAATATACCTATTTGAATTTAAAAATATACAATTAACTCGACTAACATCGTTATCTCTTTTTCATATTATATTTTGGAATGCCCGCGTTTGATTCAGTACGGAACGTAAAAAGCACGATATATCTTAAGACTTACCTCTTCTTAAACCTTACCATCCTAAAACATAATCAAAGAAACCTCATAATTGGTAGTAAAATAGCAATTTCTACGTTCAAAAGTCTTGAACGCGTCCAACTTTGCAAAAACAAGAAAACTACCAGGCGTTCCTTCAAACCGCGCATGTCCTAAAGGTATTGCGAACATTGTGGGCTCAAAAACAAAATGGCGACCAAAGACTTTTGTCGAAATTTTCAAACTTCTCTGTTCTTTTCACTTATTTTCATAACATTTTTAACCATAACTGTTAAGGGAGATGGTAAGTATGCAATGTTTAGTCCTGGTTATTTCAGGCTTTGCGCTTCAACACGTATTCCATGTTCTCTCGACATTTTGATTCAAAAAAATAAGCCACGTGTGTCATCTGCCATCTCAGAATCTTTCGTAATGATCCAATACTTAAAGAATAAATGCCTCATTGTGATTAATTCATCTCTTAATGTTTTTAGATAACCCTGATAAGACCTCAGTGCATACTAATGAAGTGTCATGGTCAATGATATTCAAGCCAGTGATGGGTGTAGTGGCGGGTATACTGGGAATATGGTTGTGGACAACGTTGAAGGCTAAACAAGACGAGGAAAAGCTTCCCAAGGTTTGTGTATTGGTTGTTAATCAATATAAGATCACATATGTCAACCCTAGGGATCTCAAAACCTAAATCTATGGTAGATTGGTAACAAGCTGTATAAGTTTCTTGCTTCTGGTTTTGGTTTAATTTAGCTGGGTGGTAATGATAATGATGATGCAAAATGATGATGATTGTGGTGGTGGTGATGATGATGAAGATGACGGATGATGGTGGCGATAATGATGAAGATGACTGATAATGGTGGTGATGATGATGAAGATGACTGATAATGGTGGTGATGATGATGATGACTGATAATGGTGGTGATGATGATGAAGATGANATGGTGGTGATGATGATGAAGATGACTGATAATGGTGGTGATGATGATGATGACTGATAATGGTGGTGATGATGATGAAGATGACTGATAATGGTGGTGATGATGATGAAGATGACTGATAATGGTGGTGATGATGATGAAGATGACTGATAATTGTGGTGATGATGATGATGACTGATAATGGTGGTGATGATGATGAAGATGAAGATGACTGATGATGGTGGTGAAGAAGATGACTAATGATGGTGGCGATGATGATGAAGATGACTGTTGATGGTGGTGAAGGGGATGAAGATGACTGATGATGGTGGCAATGATGATGAAGATGACTGATGATGGTGGCGATGATGATGAAGATGACTGATGATGGTGGCGATGATGATGAAGATGAATGATGATGATGGTGGTGGTAATGATGCTGCTGCTGATGATGATAATAATGATGATGGTGATTATGATAATGATGATGTTGGTGATGATGATAATGGTGATGATGATGATGATGATGGTAGTGGTGTTAATGATGAGGGAGACTGATGATAATGGGGAAGGTACTAGCAGCATAACGTCTGAGTGAATGATAATTGCATGGATTATCATGATGATACTAACCACCCTCTGTTATCTTCAGACAAGAGACCCAAACCAAGCAGACAAACTTACTACCTCAGCAATTAAGATATTTTATGGAACACAGACTGGAACAGCCAAGGTAAGGAGCAATTGTTCTTGGACTGAATTATACAAGCTTCATATAAGATCAAAATGTACAAAGTACTATGCTTTTATATCCACAATGATAATCCTTTTCATTTTACTATGCTACTATATTATTTCATAGAAATTTGCAGAGATGCTTCAAGAACTGTCTACAAGACAAGGCACTGAYTGCAGTGTTACAAGTCTGAAAGACTATGAACCAGAGGACAATCTTCCAAATGAGGTATTTGCTCATGTCAATAACTTTGAGTTAAGATCAACCACAGGTAGCCTAAAACAGTACACTATCAACCACAGGTAACCCAAAACATTAATTAACAGTTTGCTTGTTGATTGATGTTTTTAGAGCTGCACTTGTGTTTTTATTGTAAGCACTTACACTGATGGCCAACCACCTGAAGATGCTGTATGGTTCTGTAAATGGCTTGAAGAATCTTCAAATGACTTCCGTGTCCAGAAATCTCTCCTTGGAGGAGTCAAGTACGCAGTGTTTGGCCTGGGTAACTCTCTATACAAGGATAATTTCAATATGGTATGCTATCATGTGGATCATTGGGTAGTATTTGAAAAATGACCAAAGGTTGACTGCCTTTTATTTATATAGAAAATTCAATAAATCAATACCTCTACAATATAGTAGAAATTATATTTCATCGGGGGGGGGGGG